CCCCCCCCAAGCCTTACATTAACTTCTCCAACAATGACATGCTTACAAAAGAGTGCCAAGTGGTTCTGCCCTTCTTTTATTCAAAATGAGTGGAAAAGACTGCACAGGAGCTGAGCTTGGACCGTAGAGGATATTTCATAAAAATAGAATAATATAAGGAGACTGACCACCCCCATATGTGTATCTTATTGTTAGATATTGTCTTTTTTGCTCAGATCATTAAAACTACACGTTAATAGCTGTTTCCGAGCTGCTCAGTGCATATTCCCAAAACATGTTCTGATTATTCCAACGGCACATGAATGCAGCACTATTGCCTTACCTCGCAATATTAAACCGTGTTATCTTAAATCTTAAAGAGTATTCTATTAACCCACTAGAACACTGCGTTCCCAGAATGCATTGTTCCTCGTGTTTCCTAGAGGTTCCAGAAGTGGATGGTCAGATCCTAGCTTTGGAGCTGGTCTCCTGTGGAACCCACTACATTTAGGACTTCTCTCTTTAACTCAGTTTAATGTTAGGGCTGGCTCAGGAGGACTTCTATCTACAAGGGGACAGAGTGTGTGGTTTAATAACACAATATTAACAAAAGGGAAACATCATTTGTGTGTCCGCCCCACAAAGTGTTCACTAAGTTTTCTGAAACTTGCACCGCTAGTTTTTCTGACTGTTACCCTTTAACAGAGGACAACAACAAGCAGAAAGAGCAGCGTCCTCGGTGGAGAGAATACAAAAAGACAAGTGTATCTACCTCTGTGATGGGGACAGTCGTCCTGGGCTTGGCTGGGGACACGTTGGCCAGACTCTGTCTGAGCAGCACCGTCACCTCCTCCAGCTCCTTCTCAGCCTCCTGCACGTTGGGGTCCTGCTGCAGGACCTCCTGCAGGTCTGAGCTGCAGGCCATATAGTCCTGCAGCTCAGCATACCAACATGTGTAAGTAGCTGAGAGCTCCAATATTAACTCATGAAATAATAATGTAAGGTGAACTTAAAGAGTGCCCTCCAGTCTTGGTTTCTAAATAAACATTTAGCTTCCAATCACCTTTAGGCCTCTGTTAGCCAGGGCTCGTCTGTAGAAGGCCTTCTTATTGGTCGGATCCACTTTGAGAGCTGCATCACAGTCCTGCTTGGCTTCAGTAAACCTCTCCAACTTCAAGTAGCACAGGGCCCTACACACACACACACACACACACACACACACACACACACACACACACACACACACACACACACACACACACACACACACACACACACACACACACACACGTTAAATAGATGAGATAGCATTTTAATCTCTGAGCATTCATCCAGCGTTTTGCTTTCCTAATGTGTTGGGTATTTTCATTCAGATGGTTCTCAGCTACAGTGTGTATTTGCTCTGGTGTGGCTGACATTCAAGCTATTTACAAGCTAAGTAAAACAGGACACACAATAGGCTTTTCTTAAGTACGCAGCTTCACATTTTCCTCGCCGACATGATTAAACATGTACGTACTGCTGTTGGAGGGAAAGTGGGGGTGCTGCCCTGCCTGCTGCATGCTTTGTGCTTGCTGTGTGTGTGTCTGTAGATCAACATGATAGAGGCTATAAATGGAGTTGTGATCAACAGTGATGAAGCAGGCAGCTGTTTCCTGAGCCTCTGCCATTCAATATCAACAATACAGGCTCACTTGCTAGCAGTGACAGACTGATGAGTGGCTAGGAAGCCAAAGGGCTGAATGCAGCAGAAACCAGCTGAAGATAATGAATCCATCTGTTGTCATTTATCCCAACCAGAACATTGCATTTCTGACATTCCTGCATCATAAGGACACAGCCTAATGAGGAACAGAATGTAAAAGCCACCACTAACCTGTTGGTGTAGACAGCACACTCCTCTGGCTTCAGCTTAAGGCATTCAGTGTACTTCCCCAGTGCGTCCTGGTATTGGCCCTTCTTCACAAAGTCGTTCCCTTCTTGCTTCACTGCTGTAAAACGGACTTCTGCTTTCCTTTCTGGAAGACAAAGTCCAGTGGTGATTACTCATTGCTGCTTACTCACACGTCATTCTTCTTTCTGTTGAAGTAACCCCCCTTTTTTATTTTCCTACCACAAGGTTATGCCAGTCTTTATGCTATAAAGCTGGAGGGTTTTAAATCCTTGAAATGAATGCTGTGCTAGCTAGAGGTGAGGCATGAGAGTGAAGTCAGCAATCAGTCACAGTGTGGACTAAAGGCTAATCAATCTGCTGCAAAGGGTCTTATGGGAGGGAGAACTGTGCCAGCAGTCTATTCTTTCATTGGAGTTTAAAAATAGCATCTGCAGCACAGCCTAGGGAGGGGGAAAACTGCATGGTCAGTAACAGAGTGACACGTCCACTTATATAACATACAGGCTTTTAACATTCTGTTTGTATCTTAGTGCAGAGTGATGGAGAAACAGGAACATGAATGTTGGTGGTGAAAGTGTTGAGAGCATTCTCTTCTGCTCCTCGCTGTCAAATAGTGGTGGAGGAAGAATACAGGTCCTTGAATTCTGGAACTGTTAAAGTACTCAATGAAGATACAATTGAAATTGTGGGTGTAAAACTGTTATATCACTGGATCATTATTTTTGATACATTCATTTGACTGTTGTAGTTGTTCTAGGCGAAGCATTAAGCATTTATACACTGTTGTGTTGCAGTCAAATCTAAAAGATACTATCCATACTACAGTGTACTATCACCGTGTGTTTTGTATTTGTATGTCTGCTCAGAGCTGAGTGCAGTCTTCAGACAGGCCTCATGTCACACTTTATATCCAAAGGTTACACTAAGATCCAGTTTAAGGATTTACACAGGAGCCTACAAAAACTGTCAGCATGTGACTTGTCGACGTAAGAATGTTTAAAAATAAATCCAAAGAAAATGACTATCGTAGGAATCACAGTACCATCAAAAAACATATTTTAAACATTTTGTCATATATTGAGTATTGTGACAAGGGGACAGAGCGTGTGGTATGTTGTACAGTTCCTAAAGCCCCCTGTGGCAGATTTGTAATTAGTGTTTTCCAGCTTAGATGCATGACATTTTCTGAATGATTGCTTGATCAGGACTTGTTCAGAACAGACCTGCGTCTCTGGCTGCCTTCTCGGCCCGGGCCTGCAGGAGCTCGGCACTGGGCGGCCCCTCTCTGCGGTGCTGCTGCGCTGACAGGGGCACCAGGGGGATTTCAGGGAGCTTCTCCCTCCACTCCGGGCCATCCTCCTCGATCAGCTGCCGGGTGATCCTGCAGGAGGATCAGTCAGTGTGGCTGTCACAGACACAAGTGGAATATACTACACACATTCGCACACAGACAAGGTGTTAAAAAGCTCACCGCAAGTAAGTTAGTGTGTATCTATACAAGCATTATATTGTCTCATAGTGTAATTATATACGCTTGTATGCTAATACTATGATCTACTGTATTGCTAAACACAAAGCAGCCAGGTGAGTTTACCTATCGCATAACAGAGAGCGGACATGACAGATTTAGCCTGGAGCTGGAGCTCCTTTGGAACACCAGCTAAATCTGTTGGCCACTAGCAAGACTTTGTGTGTTTGTTCATTTGATTTGTTTACAAGGCCATTTCTGGATTTTAGTATAGAAAAATATTCAAAAGCGCAAATTATATTGTGTTTTATGATATTGTACCTTTATATTTATTTACTTATCTTAATACATCTAATGATATAACCACCCAATGGATAGCAAGGACACTTTCATGATAGATCTCTGTATCAGTACACTTAAACAGGTACATATATATACATATATACATATTCAGCCAAACCATGGCCGATAAGACCACTCCCTGTTAATATGAATGTTTTCACTCCTTCAGGCTCCTCTGTGTTTCCGTGAGAGGTAAGGGTAATACCTGTTGACACTGTCGTTGGCTGCCTGTACGCTGATGTCGATCTGCAGGACGGTCTTGTAATCCACGTAGGCCTTGCGGTAGCGCTCCAGAGAGTCATAAGCCGTGGCCCGGCGTAGGAGGGGCTTGAGGGAGAACGGCTGCAGCTCCAGGGCTCTGGATGGTATAAATAGATGTGATGAGACAGGAGCAAAGGATCAAGTCTGCTATAGATCCTCACTAAGAAGTACTCTACATTGGGATTGACTAGGAATTTATTTTATATGTTTGGATGTGTTCTTGCACTCATGAACTGTGTGGATATACTGTCACACAACCCAGTTTTCTGCTTGCCTCAGAAGTTGAATCTTAAGCAAACACACCAGGTGTTCACATGGGAGGTTCCCACAGGATCTCCTACTTACAGAACTTCCGAAGAGATGAATGACTATCCTTTTCAACACACCCCATCGCAAATCCCTTCATGAAATAACAGTGATCTGCGACTTAAGTGTTTCAATTGATAAGGCTGTTTGCTAAAAATTAGAAAGCCTTTCAACTAAACAACCTCTTAAGACAGCTGCATTACTTCTCACACTACTTATACACACAGATGAACATCCATCCATCCATCCATCCATCTTCTCCCGCTTATCCGTGGTCGGGTCGCGGAGGTAGCAGTTCCAGCAGAGAGCCCCAAACTTTCTTTTCCCTGGCCACATCAACCAGCTCTGACTGGGGGATCCCAAGGCGCTCCCAGGCCAGCGAAGAGATATAATCCCTCCATCTGGTTCTAGGTCTACCCCTTGGTCTCTTCCCAGCTGGACGGATGAACAGATGAACAGATGAA